TATGAGAAAACGAAAAAAAAGCGAAATCAAAGAGTCGGGACTTATTCGTTTATTTGTTTTGATGCTAAGCTGGGTTCATAGTCGTGGACGACTTTCTTTAAGTACACTGTGTAGGACTAAAGGGACTAGCAACAGTTTTTGCTTAACAGTTGTTTGGCTTTGGCAAGATATTATCACACAGACCATTTCTGAAACCATCACCCTACAGAAAAGGCGAATTGCGGATTTAATTTCCGATTTTATCATCGCCTACAATGATCAAAAGTTTTTGCCAAGAATACCTGAAACCGTCCGGGCACTCAGTATGGATATCAGTGTTTAGTAGACTAGAGTTTCGCTCGTTATCGGAATAAACCGCAGTGGGTCATCACTTGGCTGGTGGATCGATGAAGAACGCAACTAGCTGCGACAAGCAGTGCGAATTGCAGACACATTGAGTGCTAAAATCTCGAACACACTTTACGCCATCGGCTGGAATGCTCCCAGTCGTTTTTTATGCGTTTTTTGCAGCTTTGCAATGCGGAAAACCCATATTGACGAGAGGTTGTTTCTGTATGTGTCTTTGTACCGATTTTTCATTTTGAGACTACAAAAGTTACAGGGCTGGAACTTTGGGGGCTTAATCTACATGCACTATGGGCCCCCATCCTCAAACTGGACGGTCTTACCCGTGTGGTACCCGCGTAAGAGCTCGCCAAAGTTTTTTGCGGGTAAGCTGCTAACTCGGGAACCAAAAATACTGGGAGCCGCCTAAAATTTTAAGAGGATGTTTCCCGTCGAGGTAGGCATTAATGAGCTCCAACCCAGCCCCCGGGTAAGCGTGGTACCTGCGTACGAGCCCGCCAAAATTTCTTCCGGGCAAATTCATAACTCGGGGATCTGAAAAACTAAAGGTTTGTAATTTTAAGAGGGTATTCTCCGCCCACCTAAGTCTCATTCAGCTCAAATCCAGCCCTCAAGTATACGTGGCACCCACACACGGACTCACCAAAGTTCTCGGACAAGTTACTAACTCGAGAACCTGAAAAGCTAGTAGACTGTAGTTTTAAGAGGACATTCCCCGTCCACGTAAATCAACAAGCTCAAACCCAGGCATCGGAAGTTACTAACTCGAGAACCTGAAAAGCTAGTAGACTGTAGTTTTAAGAGGACATTCCCCGTCCACGTAAATCAACGAGCTCAAACCCAGGCATCGGGTATGTGGTCCCGTACGGCCCGTGAAAGTTTTTTCCCAGTAAGTTGCTAACTCAGGAGCCAGGAAAGCTAGAAAGCTGAAATTTTAAGGGGGTGTTTCCCGGCAGTTCTGGCTGCCAGTCTTAATTTGTTTAATAGAAGCATTTGCCAGAAAAACTGGTGCCGATAGCGACAAAAACTGCGGGGAGCCATGCAAAAAACGCATCTTCGCACAGGCAGCCCGTGCGTTGACCAGTTATTATCATATGATAACGGGTCGCTAACCTTTGCATAAGCTCTTTCTCTTGCAAAAAAATTTTGTTTGGTTCTGAGTGTTCTGTGCGTGGGTTTTATTTGTCTGTAAGCATTCACTGATTTCAGATCCAGACAATAATCAGTCAAACTCTGATGATGCCGGATGATCAAAATGAATTGCGTAAACTACAACTTAGAGAACTTGCTCTGTTGAATGGGACACTACGCCCAGATTGTTCAGCAGATGATACTCGTTGCAGTAACTGTGGTTCGGATCAGCACAAAGCGTCAGTTTTCTTGGATATTTCTTATATTTTTTTTCTCGTTTTTGCTTGAATATTATCAGTTTTTGACCTAACTACTGGAAAATTTGTCAGCTTCGCAACTGAAAATTTCAGCTTCCCAACTCCAGAACTATGATTTGTAATTGATCCAAATTTCCGTGCATTTGCGGGGTTTTTGGC